CTTTTGAAGCCCACAACACTTGTATTTTAATAATAGTACATGTATAATATAATATCTTTATTTTCTACAAGTACATGTACATGGTAGAAAGGCCTAGCTGACAGCAATCACATATGTACTTCTGTATAGAAAGCCACTTGTTATGCTGAGCATTTCAAGCAAATTAGGCCAGGTTTGTCCCAGGATGCGACCGACGCCAGTCGACTATCACCCAGGTATCCATTTTGAACTGATGGGTGAACAGGGACAGCAGGTGTCTTATGGAAACATGTTCCTAATGTTTTCCAGCCGTATTGGAGGAGATTTGAACCCTGGACCTCAGTGTGTGAGCTAAGTGTGCTAATGATCGAGCTGCGGGACACCCTTTTATAACCTTTATCTATAACATTAAACAACAGTGACATCATACATTGCTCTTCAAGGCAAAGTTTTACTGTAAAACACTACACTTTCAAACCTTTATTTAATTTAGCATAACTTGGCTTGTAAAAATACAGTACAATATTTTAAAAGTTAATGCTACTGTCCTGTCAAATGAATGTGAAAGGGCAGGCTGGCTTATCTTTTCTGCCTCTCTCTCTCTCTGCCTGTCTCATGAACATGTAGGATGACAGGCAAATCTTAGACTTTTACACACATTTAGTATACACATACCTTCATTTTTAGAACTGAAGGAAAAAAGGTGAGTGGTGCATTGAGGTATCTGTGGAGGCAAAAAAAAAACATTATCCATGGAGGCAAAAAAGGGAATGTATGAAAGTACAGTGGACCCCTGACTTACGATATTAATCCATTCCTGAGAGCACATCGTAAGACGAAATTATCATAAGTTTAATTAATTTCCCCATAAGAAATAATGGAAATCAAATTAATCCATTCAAGACACCCAAAAGTATGAAATTTTTTTTTTTACCACATGAAATATACATTTTCCTACACACAAAATGGAGGATATATTGTGCATGTACTAAATGAAGAATAAATGACACTTTTATTGAAGATGTAGTGATGAGTGATGAGACACTCTGTCCTCGGATTGCCTTTTCCTCCTGAGTAATGTAGATCCTGTTTGGCATTTTCTTCCAGAACAGGCCTTATCACACTGTGTATGTCACTACGATTCTTAAATCTCTAAAACCAGCCTTTGCTGGCCTTAAATTCACCAATATGAGCACTAGTTCCAGGCATTTTTTCCTGTTCACCTGGGTGTTAATCGACTGGTCTGGGCCGCATCCTGGGGGACAAGATTAAGGACCCCAATGGAAATAAGTTACAGTCCTCGATGACACACTGACTTTCTTGGGTTATCCTGGGTGGCTAACCCTCTGGGGTTAATTGTTTCTCGGTATTCGCGATAAGCAACACCAATAACAGTCTCTCCACATCTTCGAGTAGTACAGCTGACCGTGGTGCAGCAGCAGCTGACGATGCTACAGCAGCAGCAGCTGACCGTGGCACAACAGCAGCTGACCGTGGTGCAGCAGCAGCTGACCGTGGTGCAGCAGCAGGTGACCGTGGTGCAGCAGCAGCAGCTGACCATGGTACGATAATATTTCGATAGTATTTCTCACCCTTTTTACCACAGGGTTGGAACTAGAAGTTTTCTTTGGGCCCATGGTGGCTTATTTAGCAGTTACAAACACTAAAAGCACTGGAATAATACAAAATTTATTGAATGTATGCATTTATGCATTCAGCTGTTTGCCCCGACTTGTAAACAGTGTCACACTAGCTCAGCTGAGGCGCTCAGGCCAGATGGACCAGACGGTTGCGTTCGGGACGAATGATGCAAGAAAAGTTTTTCAACGTAGGTTGGGGTCAAATTTTTACGCTGACAAGCATCGTAAGTCAGTTTTAACGTAGGTTGAGGACATAGTAAGTCGGGGGTCCACTGTATAGTGGTACCAACACTCTTATATGGGTGTGAAGCTTTTGCTGCAAATGCTGCAGTAAGGAAGTGGCTGGAGGCAGTGGAGATGTCCTGTCTAAGGGCAATGTGTGATGTAAATATTATGCAGAGAATTTGGAGTGCGGAAATTAGGAGGTGAGGTGAGGTTCTGCCCAGAGCTTTGGTAAGATGGGGGAGGAAGAAGGATGGATAAGGATAGAATGTTGGAAAGGTTTGGGAGGGTGGTGGGGTAGGTGGGGTTTTAAAGGTAAGTGGCCTATCCACTTTAGTGCAATTTAAATACGTGTGTGTGTATGTCGTGTAAAAGTTGAATTCATGAGAGAGGTATACCTCCTGCCCATCAATTGCACACCGCTATATCAGCTGTATACCGGTGTGCCACTGAATTGGAAGGATGCATACTGTTTGCAATTGCTTTTTTTTTTTTTTTTTTGCAAGAGGTCAGTCACAAGGCTGCGACTGCAGGTGGTAGTTGCAGGTAGTTTGATAGAGGTTGGTTGCGTTCCTGGAGTTGATTTACTAAGCATTTCCTGGGGCGGTGTCCTGCTGTAGGATGGTTGTAGATGGTACAAGGTTAGTTGTAAGGTGTTGATTGACAGAAGTGGGTCACCCAGGATTGGGGAGCGTTAACCCATGTTACTGGGTGTAGAATGGTTCTGGTGGTATCCATTCTTCTACTTCTTCAGGGAGGTCACTCAGGATTCTTGGTCGAGGGAAGTTCTTGTGGATGAAGCGTCGGACTCTTTGCTGGAGGGTCATTCTTTGGGATCTGTAGGGGATGGTGCTGATGGTGTAGTCGGTCGTGTATGTTGGTTGGGGTGGTTAGGTGTGGAGTTAATAGAAGTATTAGTCACAGGGCTGAAGAGGGGTTGTTGAGGTGGTTTGGTCATTTAGAGAGAATGGATCAAAGTAGAATGACTTGGAGAGTGTATAAATCTGTAGGGGAAAGAAGGCAGGGTAGGGGTCGTCCTCGAAAAGGTTGGAGGGAGGGGATAAAGGAGGGTTTGTGGGCGAGGAGCTTGGATTTACAGCAAGCATGCCTGAGCATGTTAGATAGGAGTGAGTGGAAACTAATGGTTTTTGGGGCCTGACAAGCTGTTGGAGTGTGAGCAGGGTAATATTTTGTGAAGGGATTCAGGAAAATCCAGTTAGCTGGACTTGAGTCCTGGAAATGGGAAGTACACTACGTGTACTTTAAGGGAAGGGTTTGGAATATTGGCAGTTTGGAGGGACTTCTAAACTGTCATATCTGAGTGCCTCTGCAAAGACAGTGGTTATGTGTGAGTGAGGTGAAAGTGCTGAATGATGATGAAAGTATTTTCTGTTTGGGGATTTTCTTTCTTTTTGAGTCACCCTGCCTCGGTGGGAGACGACCGATGTGTTGAAAAAAAAAGAAAAACTTCGTTTTGGTGTGTGCTTTTTAATAATAATTCTTAATCCTGTAATATTTCCTTTTGCACCTAGGATGGCTGGTTTGATACTGGGCTGTGGAAAAGATAATCCCAGAGCCACGTAGCAGCTAATAAATAACCTTCCACCTATTTCATTCATGCTAGTCATTGTCCTCCAGGGCCCCTGTGGCCCTGTCCCAGGTCAGACTTCCATGTTGACACCGATCAGTCAGGTTCTTGGAGCTCGCTGTATGCAGTTGGACATTAGCAACACAGCCTGGCTGATCATGGCCTGAAGACTGGGGTCTGTTGACAATTTCTCCTATGTTTGAAGGGAGGACAATGTACCTTAATGATTATTGCATTATTTCTTAATGTTCTGTACCAAACCTCTTCACTGTCAGGACCCCAAAATTGAATTGCTCTCAGTGTCTGTATTTAAAAAATAATTTTTATCAAATAAGAGTCCATTTTTCTGGTGGTAACGAAACTCAAAAATTTCCCATCAGTACTACATAGATACGAAGGCATGAAATTGAAGGTCAATTACCTACTGACCACAAAATTGGCGATGCTGCGTGCTCCACATTTTTCTGTTATATTTTTTGTACTTTTTTCTGTGGTTTTGTATTTTCTTACATTTTCCAGTAACTGGGGATCATAAGGCCAATGTGCATGATGCGCATACATGTATATCCATCCAATGTGTGAAACGTAATTCCCACACCAGTGGTGTCATTGGCACATTGTTTTCAAACCACGTTTACACAGCATAAGCACGGGTGTTTCATGGTGCTACTGTTCTAACATTTATGTACATTATATACAAGCACTGGTCATGTTCCTAGAACTGTTGCAATGTGTGTTAGTCCTTGAAATAATAATTAGGTATTTGGTTGAATTGATATAGGATGTAAAGTTGTCTATATATTATGCAGATGTGCTATTTCACCTGCCTTAAATGGGATTGTTAATGTACAGCAGTATTCCAGTGTAGAGAATACACAAGCTTTAGAGAGTGCTGTATTGTTATTGCCTTTGCATTGTTTGCTTTGAAGTATCTTGTTATCCAGCCTATCTCTTTTTTGTGCTGTTGTGATAGTAACATTATCATTGCTCTTGAATTAGTTTTGGGAGTTTCTGATTGTTATGAGCATCATTAAAGATTTAAGTACATATATTTTTAGTCTTCTTTCATTATCAAGTTTTGAATATTTTAAATAATTCAAGAGCCCATACTACAAATTCAGCACAATAGAAGACTGTCATGTACAGTATACTGTAGAGTAGGGGCATTGGGGTGCCAGAAGATGGGGAAAGAAGAGAGGGGGTTAGAGGGGATGGGGAAAGTGAGAATGAGAGAGGCTTTATTTCATTTACGTATAAAAAATTGAGGTAGTATACTGGGATACAGTACCTACCTCAGTTACCTTGATGCGATCAAACCACATCTAGTCCCTTTATAATGTTTTTGTTCTTTGACAATTTTCATGCATATAGGATGAGGTGAGGGGATTTCTTGTGCATCTTTATGCACAGGCCTTGTTAGTTTTGTTTCTACATAATGTGGCTAATTGCATGTTTGTGTTGTCTTAATGAAAAATGTAATACAAATAGAGTACCTTTAGACTGCATATAGAAACAGTGTGAGTATTACTTATTGATCATGTACTCATGTACCAAGACTTCTTCTCCAACAGAGAATGGTGATGACCTTTCGGGTCTCAGAACTTCAGATGCTCTTGGGATACGCTGGCAAGAATAAAACTGGTCGCAAGAATGAACTACAGAGTCGAGCTATTGAAATAGTGAGATTAAGAAACCCTGCCATTCAAGCAAAGATCAAAGAGTTATACAAGAGCATTCAGTAAGTGATGTAATCTGTGAACAAGAGACTGGCAGTCTTTACTTGATTCATCACAGATTATAACATACTGTACATTGAGCATGATTAATAAAAGTAGATCAATAAGCTCTTAACCTTTTTCATGCATGTATTGATCCCAGTATTTGTTTTAAGTATAACTAAATTTTTCTATTAACAGGATTTTCTATTATTTTATCACCTTTGTTACTTGTATGATAAAGCATTCTAGCTAACATGAAGTAGAAGACTGCCTGTATATTTATGAATCAGTTTTAGGTAGAAGACCAATTGACCTTGGTTGCCCATGGAAGCACGACCGAGGGGAAAATTGCTTGAGTATATACCTCATTCCTCAATAAGTAATGGTTTCTAACTAAAACTACACTGGGTTCTTAGTTCAGTATCTACATTGCTGTTTATATGACAGCTTAGCTTTTTTTTTTCCCCATTCTCATTTCACTCTTCTGTAATTAAGGATTTCATGGGAGTATACACAAATAACCCACCCATAGGAGACTGAAACTTGTGACATTTCAGTATGACTTGGACCATTGTGTTATATAAACTGAAATCTACATGTTTAGCTCCCCCTTTTTCTTTCCCTCTCTTCCTACCCCATCTTCCCATTTACCCCCTCTTATCCAGTCTGCCTTCTTCCCCTTTTCCCCTCTTCACCTCTTCTCCCCCATTCTCTTTACCTTAACCCACCCCCTGCCCAATGTATTTTTTTTTATATTTAAGACCAGTCAGGATAAAGGGTGAGTACACACTGCTTTTTCTTTTCACATCTAAATTAATTTCAAAGCCTGTCTTTAGCAATAGTTTTATTGTACAGTAGTCACATTTTATGTACAGGTTGTGTGAGAGAGATAGATGAGATAGATATAGAGAGATGAATATAGATATATGTAAATGAGAGAGAGAGATAGAGATAGGTGAGAGAAAGATGAGAGATGAGATAGAGTATTTAACACACCGGCTGTCTCCCACCAAGGTAGGGTGACCCCGAAAAGAAGCAACACATTTTCACCATCACTCATTCCATTAATGTCTTGCTAGAGGTGTGCCATTATTGCAGTTCAAAACTGCAAATATCCCAACCCCCTGCTTTGAAGTGCAGACACTGTACTTCCCACCTCCAGAACTCTAGTCTGGCTGACCAGTTTCACAGAATTCCTTCATAAAGGTTACCTTGCTCCCACTTGCTATCTAACACGCTCACAAATGCTGGATGTCTAAGCCCCCTTGCCCACAAAACCTCCTTTACCCCCTCCCTCATACTTTTCCTAGGACGACCTCTACTTCACTTTCCCTTCCACTATGGATTTATAAGTCCTCCACATTGTCCTATTTTGTTTCCATCCTCTCTAAATGTCCAACCACCTCTAACAACCCCCTCTTCAGCCCTCTGTATAATACTTTTAATAATCCTGCACCTCCTCCTAATATTCACACTGCACATTCCCCTCAGACACTACATCTCCATAACCTCCAACCTCCTCCTCACTGTAGCATTCACAACCCATGCTTCACACCCAAATAAGAATGATGGTGCCTCTGTTCTCTCGTTCATTTCCCTTTTTGCCTCCAAGGATAACTTTATTGCCACAGATGCGTCAGTGCATCACCCATCTTTTTCCCCTCAACAATTCTGTTGTTCACCTCATCTTTCATAGACCCATTCACCAGTAAGTCCACTTCCAAATACCAGAACACATTCCCTTCCTCCATACTCCCTCCTTACAATCTGATATCCAGTTTTTCATTACCAAAATGTTTTGTTACCCCTACCACCTTGCTCTTTCCGATGTTCACTTTTAACTTCCTTCTTTTACATTCCCTCCCAAATTCATCCACCAACCTTTGCAACTTCTCTTCAGAATCTTCCAAAAGCACAGTGTCATTGGCAAAAAGAAACTGTGACAACTCCCACTTTGTATTTGTTTCAAAGCATTTTAATCCCATACCTCTTCCGAACACATTAGCATTCATTTCTTTTACATCCCCATCTATAAATGTTAAACAACCTTGGCGACATCATCCCTAAGGCTTACTTTTACTTGACAATAATCTCCCCCTCTCCTTTACACCCAAACCTGAACCTCACTATTCCTCATAAAAACTCTTAGCTGCTTTCAGTAACCTACCACCTATTCCACACACTTGAAATAATCTTTGTTTCTACAAGTACAGTACATGTACAACATCTGCCATTTTGCTCCTTTATCCACTGTATATATACAGTGGACCCTCAGTTATTGGCCGTAATCCATTCCAGAATGGCCAAAATGGCCGAAAACTGAAACACTATTTCCCATAAGAATTAATGTAAATACAATTAATTAGTTCCAGACACTCAAAAATATTAACAAAAAGTAATGTTTTATCAATTAATGAGTTAAAATAAATACATGAACAATTAAATCAGTATTACATACTTTTATTGATGACTCTTCTTGACTTATGGAAGATAGGAAGGAGGAGAGAGGGAGTTGGGGTTATTGTTTGGAAGGGGAATCCCCCTCCATAATGACATCAGGTAACAAGTCCCTCTCTGGGGTTACTTCCCTTCTTTGTCTTTTAATGCCACTAGGACCAGCTTGAGAGTCACTGCACACCTGTCCCACAAAATAACTGTCAAGAGTGCTCTGTTTCTTGCATCTCTTTAAGATTTCCCTGAAGTGGGACAAAGTTTTGTCACTGAACATTTTGCCCCTGAACATTTTGCCACTGAACATTTTGCAGATATGGCTTGTTTCAGCTTGGTCAGGGTGGAATTTCTCTACAAAAGCTTGCACCCTTGTCCACGTTGCACAAATCTCTCTAATCTCCAAAAAGGCACCTCCTTCACTCCCTCTTCCTCTGAAGCAAGTTCCTCAGCTGCAGTCTGCTGCTGTTCAAGTTGAAGCTCTTGCAGCTCTTCAGTGGTTAGCTCTTTCCTGTGGTCAGCTCTTCCCTGTGGTCGTCCACCAACTCTTCCATATCCTTGCCACTAACCTCCAACCCCATGGACTTCCCCAATGCCACAATAGAATCCACAACAGGCAGAGGGTCCTCAGGGTCAGCCTCAAACCCTTCAAAATCCCTCTATTGGACACAACCTGGCCACAGTTTTCTCCAAGCAGAGTTCAAAGTCCTTGAAGTCACTCCTCCCAAACCTTACCTATAAGGCTTATGCAATGGAGGATATTGAAGTGATTCCTCCAGAACTCTCTTAGGGTCAAATTTGTGTCTGAGGTCACTTCAAAGCACCTTTGAAACACTGCTTTGGTATAGAGTTTTTTAAAGTAGAAATGACCTGCTGGTTCATGGGCTGGAGGAGAGGAGTAGTGTTAGGAGGCAAGAACTTCACTGTTATAAACCTGAAGTCCCTAAACAACTGGTCTTCCAAGTCTGGAGGATGAGCAGGAGCATTGTCCAGTACCAGGAGGCACTTGAGTGGCAATTTATTTTCCAGGAGGTATTTTTTCACACTGGGGCCAAACACATCATTGACCCACTCTTTGAAAATATGCTTTGTGACCCATGCCTTATTGTTAGCTTTCCACATCACACACAATCTGTTCTTGACGACATTGTTTTTCTTGAACACACTGGGATTTGCAGAGTGGTACAACAGTAAAGGCTTCACTCTGAAATCCCCACTAGTATTAGCACAGAACACAAGAGTAAGCCTGTCTTTCATAAGCTTGTGGCCTGGCAGTGCCTTTTCCTCCTGAGTAATGTAGGTCCTCTTTGGCATTTTCTTCCAAAACAGGCCTGTTTCATCACAAATGAACATTTGTGGGGTTTGAATCCTTCAGCCTTTATGTACCCCTGGAATTACTGTACGAATATTTCAACTGCACATTTGTCAGAACTTGCAGCCTCCCCATGCCTTACCACACTGTGTATGCCGCTACGCTTCTTAAATCTCTCAAACCAGCCTTTCCTGGCCCTAAATTCACTAACATCTGCACTTGTTCCAGGCATTTTCTTTAAAAGATCAGCATGCAACTGCTTTGCCTTCTCACAAATAATTGATTCCACAACACTGTCTCCTGCTAATTGTTTTTCAGTGATCCACAACAACAATAACTTCTCTATATTTTCAATTATTGGTGGCCTTTGTTTGGTTAGCACATTTGCCCCTTTCACCACATCAGCTTGCTTGATTTGTTCTTTCTTTGCCAGAATAGACGTGATTGTTGATTTTTTTCCCATACATCCTGGCAGCCTCAAGCACTCGAAGGCCACTCATATTTTTCAACAACTTATTTCTTAAATTCCATGGTGTTTCTGACTTTCTTTACCAAAGGAACTTTACTAGGAACTTTCTTTCGGCCCAACATAACTTATTTAGCAGTTGCACTAATGAAAAACCTCCAAAAACAGTGGAAATGTTTGGATGAATGAGCACAAGCTTCCTCACTCGCCCAGAGACACAGCTAGACTGACGGGCAAGCTGCAGTGGCTGGCTAGTCGATGCCTCCCATATGGCCGATAACCAAAATAACGGCTGATAACCGGGAGCCGAAAACCCAGCCGATAACCGAGGGTCCGCTGTATATTTATTTTACATTGAAGTATATACGTAATTAGCATTATTTAGATTATTGTGAATTTTTGTTGTATATATGGATTTAGGGAGGCATATTATATGGTGGGCACAGGAGCAGTGTGGCAAATGTTGCAAATGTATGTAATGGGTTAGTTAAAGCTGTTATGAGGTTTTATGAAGATAGTGAGGCTCAGGTTAGGGTATGTATGAGAGGAGGAGGCTATTTTCCAGCAGAAGTAGGCCTTGGACAGGGATGCGTGATATCATGGTTAACATATTTATAGATGGGGTTCTAAATGAAGTGAATGCTAGGGTGTTTGGGAAAGATGTTTCATTAATCAAATAGTTAAGAATCTAATGACATGGTGCTTTTGGGGGATTCTGAAGAGAAGTTGCAAAGGTTGGACAATGAATTTGGGAGGGTGTGTAAAAGAAGGAAATTAAAAGTGAGCATTGGAAA